GCAAACGCATACAAACACTCACTCACAAGCACACACTCACGAGCGCGTGCACACACAAGCGCCCCCCCCCCCCCCCCCCCCCCCCCCCCACACACACACACACACACAAACAGCTCCAAGGAAATGTCCAAATGTTCACCAAATGATCCCACTAATCACTGGATTCCTCCGCTGGACGTGTTCCGCCCTTATCAGAAAAGTCAGCAAGCAGACACATTTGGTGTCAATGAGTTTTCCCCCAGGGCACCTACAAAAGTCAACATTCAGAAGCATTACCGCCTTCGTCCTGAGAGCGGGTTGATGGTTTGAACTATGGCCTTATATTCTCACAGGGACCCAACATTGTGACATTTCAATGCTTTATAGGAAGAAATCTACCAGTCGCACACAACATTTGTTTGTTAGAAGTTAGGAAAAGTGTTAAACAGGACGAGGGAAATAGGATGGAGTGAAAATATCAACAGCAGAAGCAGTAGCAGTTACAACAAACAGAAAAAGAGAAGAAAGAGGAAGAAGAGGAAGTATATGAAAAAGAAGATGATGATATAACGCTGGCTATGATGAAATCGACCTGGCTGCTTCGAGATACTTAGCTAAGTGATTTTGTGTATTTTATGTGGTATTGTTTGATTTATGTATGGGCTGATGAAGGCTCAATAGCCGCAACGTTTACGTTTTTGTGTGTGTGATTATTATATAGTGAAGCTTGCTGATATACTTTTCGTTCGGTTTTATTAGTTAGTCTTTCCTCTTGTGTCGAGTGCGGCACATAGGGCAGAGGTCGTGACTCTCCATGCACGGCGGTCCGTTGCAATCCGTTGTAGAGTTGAGTGGCCCATGAGCGAGCCTTCCCTGATGATAGTTCTACGTAGGGTTTCCCTTGGTCTTCCACGAGATCTTTTCCCCTGTGGTGTCCAAAGTTAGAGTCAGAAATCTGATTCTATAACAATTGGTGGTTTTGCGATGACAGCTTGTCGGACCGTCGATCAACCGATATGCGCCGAGCTAGAGAGAAACACGTCGGTTTTATATCTGTTCTTAATATTTCTAAGAAGAAGAGTTGTCAAGACATGTGTGGTAGAGTTGGCCGCCATTAACTATTTCGATTCTTAGTGCCCACTCCGTAGTCAATTGATAGATGGAATATCTGGGCGCAGCAAATACCAAGGTTCGCACTGGATACCTCTTCAAAACCTGACGCTGAACGGCATAGTATCAATTGATGAGTAACAAAAGTGGCCATTTTGTTGCCGTGTGTCGTATTTTTTATCCATAACCGTGTTTCCTTTAAAGTCGGAGTGCATTCAGCTGAGAGGCGAGGAACCAACAGTCTGCACACAAATAAGCCAGACCTGTCAGATGGATGTGCATATCAAGTCCAAAAGTGGCTGAACAACTAAAACTTTCCGCAACTGATTTTTGAACGCTAAGAAGATGAACCAGTTAATCCGAGGCATAAAAGCACAGGACCCTATCAACGCCTTTCAAGCGCTTTGTGTATACAGGGCTAGTCGTATATTTTATAGACCAAATGGCACTTGGTAGGTGATGTAGTCAACATCACGCCGACTGCCTTTACTTCACACGTCTGCACCTGGTACCCACTCAAGGCTGGGTCGACATGAGAGCCAAGGTCATTTTTGACAAATGTCCGGCCCCCTTCAGGAACCGAACCTACGACCTTTCGATCCGCCGTCGACTCCCGGATCCCAATCATAGAGATGATAATTTCTTTTAATAGTTTTTTTGTTTTTTTGTTTTTGTTTTTTTGTTTTTCCTGTTTGTCTTTGGGATAGATCCAGTCTCTTAAATATTTGGGAATTTTTATGTGGAGACAAGTTGATGAGGAAGTGTAGTGAACATTGATGCAGAATTTAAGAAAACAAGACAGTCTTAAAAACTGATTATCTCATCTATTTTAGCCAGGAGGATATATGAAGGACTCTTTTCCACGACTATTGTACATATAGTGCTAGACGTATATTTTATAGATGAAATAGCATCGATGCGTGGGGGTGGAAGGGTGGGGGGGGGGGGGGTCAACATCCTACCAGTTGCCCTCACTTCAAAAGACTTCATTTGCTACCTATTGAAGGTGGGGTTGAACTGGAAGCGAAGGTTATTTATTTTAAAAAAATGGCCTGTTCGTATTTGACCACCCGACCTACAGATCGGTAGGTGAGTGTCTAGTTACTACACTATGCAGATCTCAGAAGTATTTATGGTAGATGTCTAAGGAGTGGACAAAAAAGGGTGGGGGGGGGGGGGGATGACCATTGCAATGACCACGAACAGGATTTTTTTAGGTATGCGCTGTACCGGCACCCTTTTAAAGACATCCTTTTGACGACACTACTGTAATAGATAGATCATGGTTTGTACTACCACCTTTCTGTTTAGACATCTTGTGGTGAATAGTTAAGAAAAAAAAAAAAAAAAAGGAAGGGACCCTTTTACGCGCTTCAGGCGTTTTTGGTTCTTAGGGCTAACCTATATTTTATAGACCAGTAAACACTCAGTTGGTGACGTGGTCAATATCACACCGGCCACCTTTACTTTCCACGACCCAATTGCGTGTAGGACGTCCTGGGTGCAAAAGTCTTTCTGAATGAGTTATGAGTTATGAGCTAGATTATCTTCACAGCACTCTGGACACATCCATAGGCGCTCAGATTCCCCTCTCAACCTATTCTTCATCTTTCTGAATCAAGTCAGGAGCTACACCCACGACCTTCGGATCCACAGGTAAGAGTCTAGCCACTACACAACAGCGGCTCCACCTTTCTTTCCCCCAGGAACCAAAAATCCGGATCATGAAGTTACGACTTTTAACGTAGCTAGAAAGGTAAAGGTAAAGGTAAAGGTAAAGGTGAAAGGTAAAAGTTGGGAGATGTGAACCAGCGACATTGCACACGGTTATAAACCATAAGTGCTGTGCCACCAGTACGGACAGCTGATACGAACTGTCCGCCTGTGTCGCCGTTCCGCACCTAACACTGTAGCTACAGCGACGTTCCTCCATTTACCCCCGAGTGTCAACTCTGGTACCCATTTTCTAGAAGCTGGTTGAACCCCGGGAACCGCCCGGTTTCGAACACCGACGATGGCTACAGCGAGTCGCAGCTGGATTTGAAAGCGAACCTCTTATCGTCTGCGCTAACGCAGCCCTTAATGTAGCTAAATACAGTGATAGGGAGGACTTAGCATAGCATGTTTCTTCAGCCTTGTGACCAAATGTAAATAAAGAACACATCGCCATATAGCTGGGATTCAAGATTTGTAAAAGAACCATTTGAACTCTTGTTAACACAGCCCTGACGCATCACTACTGACACTAACTGTTGGTGAAACTAATAGCCTCTTATCGTCTCCGCTAACGCAGCCCTCAATGTAGCTAAATACAGTGGTAGGAAGGACTTAGCATAGCATGTTTCTTCAGCCTTGTGACCAAATGTAAATAAAGAACACATCGCCATATAGCTGGGATTCAAGATTTGTAAAAGAACCATTCGAACTCTTGTTAACACAGCCCGGACGCATCACTACTGACACTAACTGTTGGTGAAACTAATAGGTCTGACCAATACTTGGAGCTTTCAAGCACTCTCCGGTACCTTAATGCAGAAATGGCTTCTAGTGGAGGTTCCGGTAACGGTCTAGGAAACCGCCATAGATGTAACTATGCTTTTTATCTGTTAGAGTGAGTGAGAGTTGGAACTTACCCGTCTAAATCTTACAGTGAGTGGGAAATGTAACTTGGCTTTTCAGCGGGGTGCTATTTCATGTCTGCATCTTTTATAATTCAGCAATGGTTTAAATTACTTGCATAATAGATCTTCTGCTTAAAAAAAAAACCTGAATAAATGGGTCATATTTTTATGTATCTGTGGGGCGGAGTGCTTCTTTGCTGCCTGCCTTTTTGACGTCCTCACTTAGCTTCTTTACCAGTTGTGAGCCAGGCTTTTGTCAATTACCCTATTACTCGTCCCCTTGTGGGATGCAAATTTTCGTTACGTTGAAGCTCCACCCCGGTTGTTGTCGGAAACCCTAGTATAACCTAACGGTTAAACGAGGTTACGGGGATCTCTCCAGGGGTGATCCTAATCCGCATGGTGGTACTATGTGTCACCGTGTGTTTATCGCTCTGTATGATGTCCTGGTGGGGTAAAATTTACTTACTTATTTAATTTTGTCAATTTGCTTCTAACTGTAACATTGGGGTTATTTAAAAGGCCACCCCGGCAGTCGTCAGAGGCCCTAATATAAATTTTCAGTTGAACAGGATAACTGGGACTTGAGCCTAGTTGTTTCTCATCCGATGGGTGGCACTTTATGACAGCGGGTCTAATCGCTTGTTGTGTGGTCCTAGTTCGGTTGAACGTCCCTCACTCACTTTGATCAATATATCTTCTACTATATCTCTATTATTCTTGCATTCACTTTGATTATACAATAACATGTTGTTGATTTTGTTTTACCACATTTAATTTCTGTCCGTTATTGCACCAGTTGTGAGCCTTCATGGTATCACTGCTAGACCCTCGTCTGTGCATCTGAAGGTGGTGGGCTCTAAACCCCAACTAAGCCGGACATTTTTCAAAAGTTACCTTAGCTACTAGGCAGAGTCAGCCTTAAATGGTGTCAGGTAAGGTGTTGGGAAAGTAAAGGAGACCGGCGTGATTATGACTACATCAGCCACAGAGTACCGCTTGTTCTATATCATTTAGATATAGCACTGTCTACCGAAAATGTTATAAAGGCGTGGAAAAGGGTTTTCTTTTGTACCAATTATAATCCCTCTGAGTGGTTACTGACGCTCCATCTTCGTAGGACTGCATGTCGTAAAAGGCTACTAACTGTGTTTTTGCTGCGTCTAGCCGTTATACCTCTGAGACTGATAATCTAAAACTGATTTTGATAATTGTGATGATAATGAAGTCATTTCAAGTGGTGCACAGTGTAGTAAAGGCTAAGATGATATAAGGCTGGCAGCGTCTTACCTGTAAAGGTTCTGTTCCACATTCTGCGGGTGATAGCCTCGCCGTCAAAAAATCATTATTATCAATCAGCAGGTCTCATTAAGCTCTCATTACGGCATGTCTGAAAGTATCTCTTTCTCTAGTCAATTCTCCAGTTTTTTTTTTTTTTTTTGCTTTCATTGACAATGCATCTTCAATGTATTGTGGCCACCTTCAATGAGGCGTGTTTCTGTCTAGTTTTCTACAAACTGTATCCTCAATCATCGTTGTATCCAGGCGACCATGACGTCAAACATAGCCAAAATACCTTAGTTTCGGGACACAGTGCTGTTTATGAGCCAATTCTCCTCCGTCCTCAGATCCTGTAGAATGTCGGTCTTTTTCGTTTTAGCCAATGATTTTCTAATAGTTCGTCTGTAGAGTTTCCGTTCAAAACCCCAGTTTTGTTCTTCAGTGATTGAGTAAGAGTTCATGACTCGCATCCGTGAGTTACCAGGGAAATGATTGAACATCTCAACATGTTTACTGTAGTTCAGTTGCAGCTGCTACGTCATAGGTTCTCTCTATAATAATGTAGTAATAATAACAAACAGAAAGACAAATATGCACTGCTGTGTTGTGATTCAGCTCAATTTAATGTTTTCTTCTTAAGCTCTGTGTCACATAAATGATTCTTTCTATTCTACGCAGGTTGCGTTTAATGAAAGTTTTTAGTTTGTAATAATCTTTCCTCTTGATGAAAAGACAGCAAGAGAAAGGCACAGAGATAAATATATGAAAAGCTTGACCATAAGGTTGAGGCTAGAAAGAACACTGACATCATCCATGTTTCAAGTGATCGTGTGAGATGGCGAAACAGGACAGCATATGCTCTCCTGCACGGCACGCAGTAATAATAAGTTCATAAATCCTGATTTACAAATAATTAATGATACATATAATAGGCTTATTAAGAAAGTTAATTTCTTGAAAGAAATGACTCACAAGAGAACTGATTATCCATATCGCAAGGAGACATTCCAGATTCGTTGGTCATGTCATGAGAAATAAAAAAACTGTACAACGTTACGGTGTGGGAGTTGCAAAAGGTATAGGAAAACAGATAGAGACGGTGTTAGAATGTTTGACATGGCATACAGGATCATCTTTGTCTGAATTGATTGTAAGCACACGAGAAAGAGTGGATAGACATGACAACAAACCCCACACAAGGCGTCCGGCGTATTAGATTAACCAACATTTGTATAGACCAGTCGGTACTTACATAAATGACAGTAAATTATTTACCTCATCTTCTCCATAGGTAAAGTTAGGATACATCTCTGCAGCTCTCGCCTTGACTTCGTTGGAAAACTCCCTGTACTCAGTGCTTGTAGGCATTCTCAAGGTGACGGTCATTAGGCTTTCGTAAGCTTTTCTGGCCTTGTCATTACGCTCCGACGTATCATCTGATCGGTACCATGGCGTCTCACTGGCGTTCTTGCTAGTATCAATAACAAAGGACAGTCGGTTAAACTTGTTAGGAAAAACCAAAATCATATGATCTTGTTGTCCCCCTGTGGGACTCAATTTGTGTGTGTGTGTGTGTGTGTGTGTGTGTGTGTGTGTGTGTGTGTGTGTGTGTAAGTTTTTTTTTTAAAGCCCCTTCCTGGCTTTTGCCGGGGGCCCTAAATTTAGCCGGGCCTTAAATCTGGCCTAACGGCTGAACGGGGTTTCTGGGACGTCTGCACGTGTGATCCTCATCCGCATGGTGGCACTTTGTGTGATGTCCTGGTGGGGTACATCCTACCTATTTATGCATGTCACGAAAATTTCTCGGTATTTCATTACCTCTGTTGCAATGTAAATTAAAGGACCGTTTCATCTAATGGCCCATGTGGTATTTAGTAACCAAACGACTACATTAATGCTACAAGCGCACATCTATATTTCATCGTAATCTTCACATGAGATATTTGTAATCCATCATGACCTCTCAGGTTCCAACCAGCTTAAAATAACTATTGTCTCAAGCATACTGACTTATATAATTTCAGATCAATTTGACACTAAATTGGAGACATGATCCACATGAAACCGACTGCCTTTATTTCCCATGTCATTAATTGCGAGTGCAAGTGTTTCGGAGATTCCTTCTATAGTATCATTAGAGCTGCCAAGCTCATGCGATGGCCATAGCTACCACTGGGCCAACATCCCTTCTATAGAGAAAGACTCTATAGAGTCAGGCAAGAGAACTTCGAGCACAGCTAAATCACGTATCTTGCTTTTATTACGCTTTTTTATTTTATTTCCAAAGGAAACAAAAGTAATGACGGTTTGTACCAGCATATGTTGTTAGATTTATATTTGTATAGACAGTTCAACCCTCCTTGTATGATGTGAACAATATCACGCCGTTCGTCTTTGAATTTTTGCTTACTAACAATTCTCCACATATTCTTTGTATTAACAGTTTTTATCTACGTTACCTTCTTTTTATCTTCTCTTTAACACCACTGTTCCTCCCCTCATTTATCCTCTATTGTAACATCTAGCCCTGGGCCTAACCTTTATTTTTGCTGCAATTCCCATAATCGTATTTCTATGATTTAAGTGCCCTACCGTTTTTATTTTTGATTGGCTTCTTTCTTTATGTCGCTCAGGACAGCATATCTGATATTTTAATTTAATCTGTTTATCCACAGCCCACTCGTCGTATTTTCTTTTCCTGGGAATTGTTTTCGTTCTGAATACATTATTTCGCTCGCTTTGCTCATTTAACTCCTCTTCTATATGTGCGTATTCCATCAGCCTAAGTTGACTTGAGTTGCGTCAAGAATTGACATCACAACACTCAGAGCATTCCCATGCGTGCTCCGTCCTCATCTTCAGCAGCCATCGCAGAGTTCCAATACTGATGGTACCGGTCAAAATCTGGTTATATGTCCATCTTGCCTTTCCTCTGAGTGTAGTGAGCCGGCCAGACCCTCTGGTTACACTCAGGTGGCTCATTCTTTCCGGGCTGCATCTGCCTGAGAGGCAAGAAGCCAACAGTCTGCTTATATATATAGGCAAAACCTGTTAAACAGATGTGCACGCAAAATTCAAGATGTGGAATGAGACCAAATCCCACAACAGATGAACAATCAGAACTTTCCACCGGAGTTTACAGCTAGTGAACACGATGAAGCAGAAGAAGAAGAAGAAGAAGAAGAATCCAATCTTTCCAGTTGTCACAACATATCGGGACAACTTTCTCATAACATAACCAAGAAAATGGATGTCAGTCTATTTCTGGTGTTTATAATAAGTTGTAAGCCTGCCATTCTTCTGGTATGCGTTTCAGTTTTATCAGTTTTTCCCAAGTCTGGCATTCTGCGAGTGGATGTGCATAATCTATCAACGACAGGATCACATGCTGGTAACTATATAAAAAATAAAAAAAAAAAAAAAAAAAAAAATATAAATATATATATAGAACAATACATTCTTTTTACATCCATTACCCGTCCATTCTGTTGCCAAGTAAACTTAATGAGCACTGAGTCGAACATAAACATTCTTTTTATATTGTTGCTAAATCATGTTCCCAGCCTCTTGTCTAACAATTAGGTTGTTCTGGTGTGACCTCATATTCCTAACTTATTACAAGTGAATATGACCTCAAAAAGGCTACAAAGTCAAAAATGCTCAGAAGACTTTCTATGCGCCTGCCTAAAGACACAAATATGGCAGCTCTGCTGTACTAAATACACAATTTAGTTACGCCCAATCCCACAAATATAGCGGGAACAAAGAAGACAATAAGTTATTCTTTCAATTTTTTTTTTCTCCAATAAATATGTGACCTTTATGTACATGAAGCCAGGATGTCAGGTTCTGTGATTTCTGAATCAAGTTTTAATTTTCTTTAATGTGTTGATTCTAAATAAGCAGAAGCTAATTAATTACCAACAACGTTGATTGGAATTCAGAAAAACAACCCAACATGTTTGCTAACGGAATCAGACGCAGATTTGCTCTTCAACGGAGGAAAATGGAAGTTGCCGTAGAATACCGGCTAGACGTTCGGTTGCAGGTGGTGGGTTCAAATACATACCTTTAGATTTGTTCTTCCTAAAATGACTTTGGCTTAAATGTGTAGAAAGTGGAGTGGTGGAAAGTAAAGGCGACCAGAGCTGTGTTGACCACTTTGCCAGTCGAGTGCTGTTTGATTCATGCAAGTGACTTTTTTTTTCGTGTTTAGCAGTTGTAAAATACGACAGAAAGTTCTGGTTGTTCATCAACCTTTGGACTTTAGTATTGTTTCACAATCTGACTATTGCATGCATCTCTCTAATAATGGGGACACGATTTAAGGCAACAAAATAAAAATCAAGAAGATAATTATAAGAGGAACACATTGGGGCACAGAGAAGAAGCGCTGCTGGCTTAATACAACAACCTTAGCCAAACAAGTAGCGCCAAAAAAAGACCACAAATATAACCGGAGACTATCAGCAGCTTACTGCCAGGTTGAAAATGTTCGAGGTTTTTATTTTCTTTCTAGAATGGAACTGAAGGTGGAAGACAGCTAGGATGCTACCTTTAGACAAACTGAATGTCTGTGAGTCCTACAGAAAGCAGTTTTAAAGGCGCAAGGATTAACGTGATTGTGTCAGATTGTATGTCACTTGTCTAGGCAAGAGCGGTGTGAGGAGCTCTAATTTCACAAAAAAAAAAAAAAACAACCTGTTTGTTAACGGCTCTATAATTGACCTCCAGTGATACTGACATGCATTCTTTACATACAGAAGGGAGCAGACCGACTGGAACCCACAGCCCTGGAAACTCAAGGCAACCGGTTTAACCATTTCGTAACGTAGACCCTCCAAAAAAGGTTATACGTAGGATCCGAACTATAGATCAAGATAAGTCAAATTTTCACCCCTTTTCGATGTGTTCAACATCACTCAGACCACTTTTACTTCCAGTATTATTTCCTATTTTCACTAACATTTTCTAGTTTCACCTGCTTGAAGAAGAAGAAGGAGAAGGAGGAGGAGGGGAGGAGGAGGAGGAGAAGAAGAAGATGAAGAAGAAGACAGACGACACAGACATGGAGCGTACCTGCTGAAAAGATCAATGTTGAAGAAAACATATTCTCCGTTGTCGAAGTTCAGCTCATGGGCTTTGATCATGATCTCTCTGACCGTGTTTGAAGAGGCACACAGGACCACAACTGCAATATACAACAACCAGATAAATGCTTAACAAAAGCAAGAATATCATAAGATGGTAATCGCTATACAGCAGTGCGATGTGTAATAGTGGTTGGGCAATAAAGCTGATGATGCTGACGATGATTGCCACTATAGCGATAATGCTGCTGATCATTTTGATGATGACTACAATGACAGCATTAATTGTCTATCTATCTCTATCTTCTTTTACCCCACTAGGACATCAAACAAGCGATAAACACCCGATGACACAAAGTGCCACCATGTGGATGAGGATCACCCGTGAAGAAGTCAAAGAAACCCCCTTCTGCCATTAGGCCATATTAATTTGCTGGGCTATATTGCGGCCCCTGGAAAGAGCCAGGATAGGGCTTCAAAAAAAAATGAAAAATTTAATCCCACAAGGGATGGCTAAGGTTACAATTCATGGTAGTAGTAGTACATTTTACCCCACTATGCCATCACACAAGCGATAAACACCCGATGACACAAAGTGCCACCACGTGGATGAGGATCACCCGTGGAGAGGTCCCAGAAACTGCGTTCAGCCATTAGACCAAATTTATGGCCGGCTACATTGCGGCCCCTGGCAAGAGCCAGAGTAGGGCTTCAAATAAAGACAAATTGCATCCCTCAAGGGAATGACACTATATTAATCATCAGCTAAAAGTTCATGGTAGTAGATGTAGATTTTTACCCCACTAAGACATCACACAAGCGATAAACACCCAATGACACAAAGTGCCATTATGTGGATGAGGTCCCAGAAACCGCGTTCAGCCATTAAGCCATATTTATGGTCGGGGTATATTGCGGCCCCTGGCAAGAGCTAGAGTAGGGCTTCAAATAACGAAGAATTGCATCTCACAAGGAGATGACTGGAGACTGTAAGTTCGTGGTGTTTAGGGCGGTAAAGTAAATGGTGATGACTATGTTTAAAGATAGTGACTCTCATCTAGCATAATGAAGCTACAAGAAAGTGTCCGGTGAAGTAAAGGCGACCGACACGATGCTGATAATATTATACCTCTAAGTGATGCGGGCTGGGCTGTATTGGTGCAGCACAGACCTGCCTGATGTGCCAGTGGCGTGAAAAAGGATCTGATGAATTGTTCTGATTACATTTTTAGCTAGTTACGTCACTTCCATACTTATACACTTATTTCATTTACATTCTTGGATACTTTTTTTTATTATTTACATTTATGGCTTGTTATTTTAATTACATTGTGGACCAGTTGTTTTATTTACATTCTAAGCTAGTTATGTTAATTACACTCCAAGCCAGTTATTTTATTTACATTTCTAACCTGTTTATTATATTTACCTTTTTAACCAGTTATTTTATTTACATTTTAGCCGTTAATTTTATTGACCTTTCCAGCGAATTATTTTCTTTACTTTCTTAGCTATTTATTTTATTTACATTGACAGCAAGTGATTTTACGTAGCCGACTATTCTAACACTTTCAGCCATTTATTGTATTAACATTTGTAAACAGTTATTTTATTCAAATTCTTAGCCATTATTTTTTTATAACATTTCCAGCAATTCAATTTTTTTTTTTTTTCATTCTTGACTAAATTTCTTTTTAAAATTATGTTTTTGGCTAATTGTCTTTTATTTAAATTCTTGGCTAGTTATTATTATTTTTTTTTTCTTTTACATTTTCATTGATTTATTTTATTTACATTTGAGACTTGATGGTTTATTTACATCATAAGATAGTTTTTTTTTTTTTTATTTATATTCCTTGCTAATTAATTTATTTACATTTTTGGCTAGTTATTGTATAAAAATTCTTCGCAAGTTTAAATTTTTTTTTTTTAACATTATTGGCTACTTATTTTAAATACATTCTAGGCACGTTATTTTAGTTAAATTCTTGGCCAGGTATTTTATAAACATTCTAGGCATGTTATTTTAGTTACATTCTTGGCCAGGTATTTTATAAACATTCTAGGCATGTTATTTTAGTTACATTCTTGGCCAGGTATTTTATAAACATTCTAGGCATGTTATTTTAGTTACATTCTTGGCCAGGTATTTTATAAACATTCTAGGCACGTTATTTTATTTACATTCTTGGCCAGGTATTTCATAAACATTCTAGGCATGTTATTTTATTTACATTCTTGGCCAGGTATTTTATAAACATTCTAGGCACGTTATTTTATTTACATTCTTGGCCAGGTATTTCATAAACATTCTAGGCATGTTATTTTATTTACATTATTGGCCAGGTATTTCATAAACATTCTAGGCATGTTATTTTAGTTACATTGTTGGCCAGGTATTTTATAAACATTCTAGGCATGTTATTTTAGTTACATTCTTGGCCAGGTATTTTATAAACATTCTAGGCACGTTATTTTAGTTACATTCTTGGCCAGGTATTTCATAAACATTCTAGGCACGTTATTTTATTTATATTCTTGGCCAGGTATTTTATAAACATTCTAGGCACGTTATTTTAGTTACATTCTTGGCCAGGTATTTTATAAACATTCTAGGCATGTTATTTTAGTTACATTCTTGGCCAGGTATTTTATAAACATTCTAGGCACGTTATTTTAGTTACATTCTTGGCCAGGTATTTCATAAACATTCTAGGCACGTTATTTTATTTATATTCTTGGCCAGGTATTTTATAAACATTCTAGGCATGTTATTTTAGTTACATTCTTGGCCAGGTATTTTATAAACATTCTAGGCATGTTATTTTAGTTACATTCTTGGCCAGGTATTTTATAAACATTCTAGGCAAGTTATTTTAGTTACATTCTTGGCCAGGTATTTCATAAACATTCTAGGCAAGTTATTTTATTTACATTCTTGGCCATGTATATTATAAACATTCTAGGCAAGTACATTAGGCAAGTTTTAGTTACAATTTTATACTATGGTATAGTTATTTCATGCAAATTCTTGGCTAGTTTTTACAATTACAAATTAATATTACAAATAAATCTAGACAGCGGGACACCTTATGAAACAAAGATGATGTCAATATTTTTGTCATATTTAGAGAAAGAAAAGGAAAAAAACAATTTACCAAGCAGGCACATAAATAGGAAGCATACGACAAGGACGCCGGAAAGAAACCCTAAGATAAACGTTGAAATCAGAGACCTAAAGTGTTGGCCTGTTTCGCAATGAAGGCTTACAGGGTGAGCTTCATACAACGTCATGTCGGCACAATACGTAAGAGAACCAGTGCACCTGTGCCTACTGACTCTACTGTCTGGTTTTCAAAACCTAGATCTTCCTGGACTCCTAACCCTGGGGTATCTAGAGCTTTGGTTCTATACATTGACAGAACTCTTTTCGAGATCAATAAATTTAAATTCCAACCTCTCCGGCACTCTAATCTCTCACCTCAAGAACTTCAGGCACTCACACGTTTGAAACGTCGTGATGATATTGTTATCAAACCTGCCGACAAGGGAGGGGCGATAGTAGTCTGGAGAAAAGATTTATGTCTGCAAGAAGGGGACAGGCAACTTAGTGACACATCTTTCTATGAACCCCAGACACAGGATGTTACGGTAAAAAAAAAAATTGTGAAAAGTACCATCACAACCTTCATCAAGGAAGATCTTCTGCCTGCACGGGCCAGCTCTTTATTTGTCGGGGACAGTTGTCTGGGGAAGCCTGGCCTTCACATGCTTCCCAAGATACATAAACCGGACAACCCAGGTAGACTGATCGTGTCTGCCTGCGCTTGTTCCACAGAGTTCATATCGACCGTATTTTGCAGCACCTGGTCGTTGATCTCCCGTCTTACATCAAAGACACCAACCATGCTATCTCTAACTTTCAGTCTATCCGGTTCACCTCTTCTTCCAGGTACCACATCTTCACCTTAGATGTTACCTCCCTCTACACCTCTATTCCACATTCGGATGGCCTCCAGGCTTTGCGGTCCTTTCTAGATCAGAAAGTCAGTCCTGCCATAGCCACTGACCCCTTGATTCGTCTGGCTGACTGACTTTTTACCCCACCAGGACATTACACAAGCGATAAACACCCGATGACACAAAGTGCCACCATGTGGATGAGGATCGCCGTGGAGAGGTCCCAGAAACCACGTTCAGACAATTGACCATATTTATGGCCTGCCTATATTGCGGCCCCTGGCAAAAAACCAGGGTGGGGCTTCAAATAACAACAAATTTAGTCCTAAAAAGGACGAAACACTGGCTGAGTTAGTGCTCACTTTAAACTCGTTTCAAGTTTAATGGCCAGTATTTCGACCAGATCAGCGTGTCGCTATGGGGACCAAGATGGGACCCATCTATTCTTGCCTCTTCATGGGCACCTCGAGCACCAGATACGACATGCATATACCGGTAGGCTTCCCGAGCTCTACAGGAGGTATATAGATGATTGCATCGGTGTCACCAATATGCCCCTTCAGGAACTGCAGAACTCTATCCATTTTTTCTCTAACTTTCATCCCAGCATCTCACCTTCGTCGGTGCATTTTCTGGATCTCGCTGTCATCGTCAGTTCTGTAGGCCTTAGCACCTAGGTGTACTACAAGCCTACTGATTCCCACGCTTTCCTTCTCTGCACGTCCTCCCATCCCACTTCTTGCAAGAACTGGGTTCCGTTCTCCCAATTTCTCCGCAGACTATGCCAGGAGAACGACGACATTCACAACAAGGCCCTGGAAATGCTGGACTTCTTCCGGCTTTGAGGGTATCCTGAACATGTCCTATCTGTCGCCTTTCACCGCGCATGGTCTTTCCATCGTGCCGAAGCTCTCGCTTCCAAGCCGAAACTAACAATAGACCTATCCTCACACTTACCTACCACCCTCACAACATCCGCGCCAAAAATATTTTTCTCAGGCATCTCTCCATTTTTAAAGCCGACCCTGCCACTAGCTCGATTTTCTCTGAACTTCCTCTAGTGGCCTACAGGCATGATCGTAACCTCAAGGAATTTCTAGTCA